TGAGATTTTGTGTTGTAGATATATTTTTAGAGCCCTTAAAATTATGCACTTGCTTTCCAGGACAAAGACTAGTTAGTTCAAGATGTACTTTTATTGATCTAGCTGATAGATGATATCTATCATCTATCTTGTTGTTTATTGTTTATTGTTGTTATGTCTTGTTGTTTATTGTTCAGTTCATTCACACATCAGTCATGTATACTAAGATATATTTAGTGAGAGGRCAGAAGTTGAATAAAACTCAGTGCTGCTGTCAAAAAAATACCATATTCTTTGTTAGAACTTCTAGTGTGTATTATTAATTATATTTTAACAGCTTTATTGAGATATAATTAATTCATCACAAAATCCACCCTTTTAAAGTATACCATTCAATGGTTTTAGTATAGTCACAAAGTTCTTCAATCATCTCCATCATTATAACTTCAGAACATTTTCTTCACCACAAAGAAAAGCCTCATAATCATTAGCAGCCGCTCTCCATTATTCTCTTCMCCCAACCACTGGCAACCACTAATCTACTTTCTTTTTATGATCTTGTTTTTCCTGAACATTTCTTCTTAATGGAGTGATACAATATGCAGTCTTTTGTGACTGGTTTCTTTCAGCCAATATAATGTTATCAAGGTTCATCCATGTTGTGGTGTAGATCGTTACTTCTTTCATTTCTTTTTATGCTCAAATAATAGCTCATTGTATGGACATTCCATATTGTGTCCATGCATCTATCAGTTGATGGACATTTGGGTGTTTCTGTCTTCTGGCTATGGTGAAGAGTGCCACTATGAACCTTCATGTACAAGTTTTTATTTGAATACCCATTTTCGATTCTTTGGGGTTTATATTTAGGAAGGGAATTTCTGTGTACTATGATACTTATGTTGAACATTTTGAGAAACTTCCAAACAGTTTTCCAAGCTGGTTATACCATTGTAAAATCACACCAGCAATATATGAATATTTCAATTTCTCCATATCCTTATTACTTTTATGTCTTATTTTAGCCCTCTTAATGGGTGTGAAATTGAATCTCATTGTGGTATTTATTTGCATCTTTGGGGGGACTTACTAGCTATTTGTAAAATATCTTGTTTAGAGGAATGCTTATCAAATACTTTCTTTTTTCAGATTAAGGTTTTTTTTTTGGTTTTTGGTTTTTTTTTTTTGTTTTTTTTTTTAATAGAGTTGCAAGGGATCTTTCTACATTCTGGATACAAGACCCTTATCACATACAAGACTTACAAATATTTTCTCCCATTCTGTGGCTTGTCTTTTTATGTTTAATTACATTTTAATGGAACTATTCTACAAATAGAGTATAAGGCTTAAAAACCAGGAAACTATGATGAAATAATAAAAAATCTGCTAAAGTCTTTAAAAGACAAGTATTGAGTGACTATTCAAAATAAATTACATGCATATCATGTAAGGCACCTATAGGTCTATGACAGAAACCTTAATTAACCTAGAAACAAAATATATCACTAGTTCTTGACTGGTAAGAGATTATCACAGAACTGAAATATAGAATAGGATTTATAATTTCCCTCTTCTACTTTACCGTGGAATAAAGGGAGACCCCCCAAGTCAGACTCCGAAAATTCATTCAGGAGTGCTAAGAGGGAAACTTAACAGCCTTCTCTCTAGTTACAGTTGGAACGTTAATTTCCTATACCAAAGCAGTAGATCTTCTTTTATGTTGTTATTTATTCATTTATACCCTGAGCAAAAACTTTAAAGACAGTAGTACTATCTATAAAGGTAGAGGACCCTGGAACATGCCTAGAACACACAGGGAAGTACCACCAGCCCCCAGGTGCACGGGGACTGATGTGAATAATCATTCCTCCCCTTCCTGAACACACAGAGCACTTTCCAAGTTCTGGACATTGTGTTAAGCAGTGGGAGCATGGGAAACATTGAGGCAGGTAAATACTAGTGAAGATATGTTTAAATGAGTTTGGAAATACCTAGAATAAAGAAACTCTAACTAGAAGTGAAGGTTGGGGGTTGGACAGACCTCCAACATTTATTAATTTATGAAATACTTGCACACTTATTCCACAGATATTTACTGAGCAAAGGTGCAAGAGATAGAGCATTAAGCAGCTCACGAGTTAAGAGTACGAACACAAAGACAAATGAATGCAGTGCCAGGCAACCTGTGCCAGAGTGAAGCTCCACAAAGCAGGGTCGTACCTTCATCACAGTTATATATCATGTGCCCAGACCAGAGCCTGAAACACAGCAGGCAGTTAAGAAGATCTGTTGATTGAATGAAAACAAGCATAGAAGAGGGGTACAGCAGGTGAACCAGTGAGAAAGTTGGGTTATTGTTATTAACTCCACGAAAAAACATAAATTCAAGGTGTAAGAGACAGGCCTAGCGCATAAGTGCTGGAATCTGGGTCTGGCCTGTATCACCAAAGCTTTTACTCTTTTCTATATAGATTAACGACACTATATCCAAACTTGTAAGATGACAGCAAACGTAGAGAGACCACCAACAACTCTGCCTAAATTTGTTTCTCTCTGAAAACAAAATCCAGTTTGGGATTATGTGATACGATTCAGGAAGTTCTTAACTGAAAAAGAGAGGGTGCTTGGACACATTTCAGAGTTAGCCCAGGAGCCTGTCCAGAGATGAGATCCTCAGCTTCTTCATAACAACCTGAAACATGTTTAAAGCAAACCCAAAGGGCTGAGAAAATTAAATAATATGCATATTTAATTTTATCGGATATATATAGGAGAATGAATAAAAGACAATCCTTGAAATCAGTCTAGAAACAGTCCAGCTGAGGAGGGGAAGCAAATGCAAGTAATTTTAATATAAATTTGAATATGATAAATAAGAAGTAAATTCCAGAGGTGGCTGGTGGTGATGGTTGCAATAGCAACGTGAATGCACAGGGTGCCCTTGACGTTGGAAATGGCCAAGATGGTAAAAAAAAAAAAGAAAAAGAAATATATAGGATGGGAACGTAGAGATGGGAGAAGCAACCACTGGTTGAGGATCTAAAAGAAAGTTTCAATGGAGGTAATATTTGAGCTGAATTTGAACTGAGCCAATAGGAMGTGGGTAGCCAACACTAAGGAAGGATGTCCGCTGGAGAGACCAGCTGAGCAAATGCCCAGAGGCAGAGAAGATGAGGACACAGGCATGAGCTGATGGTTAATTCAGTTTTGGGGACACAGACTGCACAGTAGCCAGCAAATAAGGGAGACCGAGCAACAGCTATGGACACATCCCTCCCTCTGAGTTTAGACTGGATTCCCCAAGACCAGAAGTCAGTTTACCCAGAGAGTGACATGTGTTTGTTAAACATCATGGAGGCAAGGCAATACACTAGGAGGTATCACAAACCCCCTGCAAACAGTATGAGTGCCTGAATGAAGGAAATGACCATCAGGAAGAAGAGGGAGGGACTGACCGACACCAGAAACACTGCAGAAGCAGTACCCATCTGTCTGTCTGGGTAACAGATCGACTCTCTCTGTATCTCTGTAGGACTAGCATTGTTATGTTTTGGTTGTTTGTGTCTTTGTTGTTGTTAAAATTTGGAAGCTCAGCCTCATTCCAAAAGAAAAAATAATTTTAATAATCGAAAGCACATCCTGACTATCACCTGCCAAGAGGACTTTCTGAATAGGGATGCCTGGGGTTAGGGGGTGACCTTCAACCTGCTCGTTTCTTACCCCCTTACTTCATCTCAAGTGGGCATCCATTCCAGACACTTCATTTCATGAACCTGTGAGCTGGGACAGGGATTCTGACCAATGCAGTGTAAAGAACTGTACCACAAGTAACCTGGGACTCTGACTGCCCAACACTGCTATTTATTCCAGGCAGTTTCAGGAACATTTATTCAGCCTTTAGGTATAACCACTCCTTGCAATATTTGTGCACTGAGACTTGTCAAAGAAAAGAACTAAAAGGAACACTATTTTCAGTCCCCACCAGTRGAAAAATAATGGGGAAAAAAACTACATTTCCACCCGCCCCTTACCATAGCAACATCATATTTTTATAAGATGGAAACTTCAGGCATCATGAGAAAAATACCTGAAGCATAATTTGCCTCTTTTCTCATTTTTCTGAAGTCTGGCAGAATATCCTTTCTCTTTGACTCTCCTGATGGATTTGGGCATCTTAATAACTCACCCAGATTTTTCCTGTAGGATTATTGATGGTCCCTTCTCGACAATCAACATCCCTGCCTCTTCCTGATTCAATGAAAGATTCAGGTGAAAATAAATAAATAAACACCAAGATCTTTAGATTTTTGTGTCTTGRGTATTTTCATGGCTACTTCACCTTTCAAATGAAATGACTTCTGGAATAAATTGCTTGTTATATGTATATGTAAGTTTATATGGTAACACTTGAGGAAATTCACAACTTATCTGTGATGGAGAGGTATTCCAGAATCACATAAGATTGGAGCTGGAGTGCGGCTCCAAAACGTGTAGATGTCGGTATTTAAAAGTGAAAATTGTCTACTAAACTAGACATAAAGGACAGGCAAGAGACCCATCCCATCTCTCCTTTATCTCTCTGTGTCTCAACTTTCATAAGGCTGAGAATATTTTTGTCTAATCTGATCAAGAAGCAGTAAATAGYCAGGCATGGTAGTGCATACCTGTAATCCCAGTGACTAGGAAGGCTGAGTTAGGAGGATTGCAAGTTCAAGGCCAGCCTCGGCAATTTAGACAGACAATAAACAACTGTATTTTGAGACCCTGTTTCAAAAAATAATAATAAGATAAAAAGGTCTGGGAATGCAGCTCAGTGATAGAGCACCCCAGGTTTAAACCCCCAGTACTAAAAAGGAAAAATCAGGGGTTGGGGGGTGGGTGGGGAGAAAAAGCAGTAGTAGAAGAAGAARCAGAAAGTAGGTTTGCAAAAATTTAGTTTGAAGCTACCCATTAAAGCAAATAAAGAAATCCTCAGATGCCAACCATTAATGCTCTGAAATTTGGGGGTTTTGTCTTCACAGAATTCTCCCAAACTTTTTTGCCCTAAAAACAGAAGTTTTGACATAGATGCCATCTACAGCGTGATAGATGACGCCAAACAGTACGTGTACATTGCTGTCATGGACTACCTGCCTATCTCCAGCACAAGCACCAAAAGGTCAGTGAGTATCCACCTTCTAGTTATAACCCAGTTTTTCGAAGCCAGCCATTAAATGAAGGATCACAGGATAAACCAGCCTGCACATGGAAACACTATCACATTGCATTAGGAAGAGCACACTGTTCAGATATGCCTGGTGTGCATTTGCAGTTCACCCACAGATACATCTCCTCCCCAAATATTAGAGATCAGGGTYTTAACTGAGCACTGTAAAGCATGCCTCTAATCCCAGCTACTTGGGAGACTGAGACAAGGGGATTTCAAGTTCAAGGTCAGTAACATAAAGAGGCCCAAGCAACTTAGCGAGACCCTGTCTCAAAAATAAAATAAAAAGGGCTGGTGATGAGGCACAATGGCTAAGCACCTCTGGGTTTGATTCCCAGTACCAAAAAAAAAAAAAAAAAAAATGGGGAGGGGTACTAGGTTCTGGCCATGCATAAATAGCTCAGTAGTTCACATTATTGGCATGAAAGCAATTTCAGAAAGTTTAGGTAGTTCTCACTTTGAAAATTAAAATACAAAGTAATAAAATGAAATAAAATAAAACAAAGACTAGGAGTTCAGCTCAGTGGTAGAGCATTTACCTAACATGCATGAGACATTTGATTCGATACTCAGCACTGCAACAACAAATTTAAAAAATAGACTATTATTTGGAAAAATATATTTTAACATTATTCATGAGGATGTACCAAAGGATGTGCTGAATATACCTGAGTAGTCTTGCCAGATTTTCCTTAAAGGAGATATTTCTTTTTTATATTCAGAGCAATCTTCATTAAATGCTTAATGTTCATGTATCTTCTCAATGTAAAGGAGAAGGAAATTAAAAATATATATGTTCCCAGTCAATGCATCTCTCTGGGAAAGAAACAGAACATCTTTAAAATGTAGTATTTAAAAAATTAATTCATCATTCTTTCAGCATGCAAATACTTGAAATAAATTTAGGGACAGAAATTATTTTTTTTCTTTACAAAAGCCTTTGCATGTATATATGCATGGCCATGCCCAGGTACTCCCATTCTCCCATTTTTGCTTTCTCRCTGTAAATGTAGAGATTCAGGTGCTTGTCAGTGTTCTGAATAATTAGTTTAACCCAGGAAATCTTTTCAAAATGCACTTTTGGGGAGTGAAACCAAAGACATTTTTAATTTGGAAAATTATAATTTCAAAATAACCATTTACTGAGGTTAAATGATTAAGTATGCCCTATATTGCTTGAATATTTTTCATATTGCCAACCCCACATATGCATAATATGTAACTTCTTTATGCAAATTACTACAGAATTGCAGTCTTCCAGAAAATGATCACTCCTGATGACAGTCAGAGGAGAAGCATGTTAATCTGCAAGACGCACATGATTAAGACACTTTTACTTTAAAATATTGTGTGTCCTTTGAACATTCATGGATTCCCCCTTGCACACACGCACTTTCACGTATTTTGTATCCCTCCTTTTTATTAAAAATTTTCTTTCTGTTGTTTATTTGATTTTAGTTCAGTTCTGGATGTCAGTTTCATTTTGGAAGGACATTGAAACGAATAGGTTTTGCATAATTTTCCTATTTATGAAAAAGGAGAATAAGGCAAATTCATGGATTTCTGTTTTAGGCTAGGAAGATGCATGATCAGATTGACAAAACCTTTTTTCCATGAAGACCCATAAACAAAACTGGAATCCTTCATGGTCAAGGGAAAAAGAATTATGAAGTACTTAAAGGAAAAGGAATTAAAAGAATGTTAAAGAACTGAAGCCTACCTGAAGTTTTGCATTTTGGTTATTCATCTATCATTTCAGATGTTATTCAGAGAATACTTCTTTTATTATATTTTTAAAATTTCAAAACAAAAGGTGTTTTTAATTTTCTAAACAAAAGGTCATTGAAAAAAAATAAGCAGTTCATATATCCAGGTTATAATGAAAGTCTTCTCAGTCAAATGAATGATATTTTTTAAAAGGTCAGATTGGTTACTCATGTTTATATAGTACTGGAAAAGTTTTTCAGGAGTCAATTAAACTTCACTGAACAAGTAAATACTATCAGATTTTATTGTGTTTATGAAATTAATCAATATCTTAAAGATTTTTTTTAGTCTACACACTGCCAATATCCAAATGAAAAAGAAAAAAATTCATACACTCCCAAATTAGAAAYGATTGTCAGCCTGTGAAAAAAAACAAACACCATAGTTCAGTGTTAGTTTTAGAATTTCTAATTTTCAAGGTAGTAGGAAGTGAATGGAACAGTGATGTAGGACTAAGAAAATACTGTAGTTAAAAAATCAGAAGCCCCGGGGCTAGGGTTGTGGCTCAGCAGTAGAGCACTTACCTTGAAGTTGTGAGGCACTGGGTTCAATCCTTAGCACCACCTAAATATAAATAAATAAACAAAATCATAGTATTGTGTCCATCTACAACTTAAAACAATATATAAAATTWAAAAAAAAAATCAGAAGCCCAGCTCCACCTCGTCCTGCTATAGCAATCAAGCTGCCTTCTTTCAGTCAATTCACGTAATTATTTAGGTCTCAGTTTGGGGTTGTTCATGATTTATTTCTTCAGTTACTTGGAATGAATCTTTCAGAAGGAAACTGGTCAATGTGTGAAGGACTAATAAAAATGTAGCCTGATTAGTCTTTGAGTTCAATAGTCTTCTCTTCCCACAGTTTCACTTTCTATAGCTTCAGTTACCTGGAATATGAAAGGGAAAGTTCCAGAAATAAATAATTCAGAAATTTTAAATAGCCTGTATTATAGTATCTTACTATCATTGTTCTATTGTTAATTAATATTGTTAATGTTTTATTTTACTTAATTTATACATTTTATTTTACACAGGATATATATGTAGAGGGGGAAAAAAAAACCACAGTATATATACAACCTGTGGTTTCAGGCATCGACTAGAGTCTCGAAATGGTTCACTCATGGATACAAAGGAATGACTGTATTAATATCTTTMATTTATTAATATCTGTTTTTTTAAACAAATATTTATATAGCACCGTGTACTTGTGGTTAAAGCATGAACAGCATATGGTCATAGAAGTTCCATCTGAAAGGGGCAGATAAACATAGATTATCTTATTAGAATGCAAAGGTACAGATGGAGCAATAGGTGTGTGTAACAAGTATTAGARCCACTCCATGAAAGCACATCTATGGTACAGTTCCTGGGTTAAAGGAAGCTTACAGGAGGACCTGCTATCTGAGTTGCATTTCAAATTATTCATGAACATTTGTGAAAAGTATAAGAAATGGAATTTTCCAAATGAAAGGGACACCTTGAGCAAGCAAAGTTTCAGGTGGAGGAAAGAAGCCTAGAAAATTCAGTATTAGATCACAGAGCCCAAGGCAAGGTGGTGAGAGATCAAACTGGAGAGGAAGCAGGGACCAGGAACTAGGGGGCCCCATCTATTGGTGAGCCTTGTGAGTTTGGAGAGCCTCTTCTGTGTTTTAATCCAAGGAAAAAATGACCAGATGCGTTTTTAGATGGGTCATTTTGGTGGTCATGGAGGAGGTACTTGACAGGGATAAGACTGGAGGCAGAGATACCAACTTGAAGCACAAGACTGAGATAATTTTTTCTAGTAGGACTCAGTTTTGTGGGTATAGAAGCAGACAAAAAGAAAATTACAGCACTTACCCATGATTTAAGTTTTAGTCATAAGGGAGAGGAAGATGGAAGGGCAAGTGCTATGCAGATTATCAGACCTGGAATGAGACTGGGCAGGCAAGAGACACAGGGAAGAGCTGAAGGACAGGAGTCACTGGAGGGATCCTAGGGCTGCAGCCCACACAAGGTCAAAGAGCAGGTTTTATGCAATTGGAAGAGCAGGGGACTTGAAGGGCAGGAGGCTGGCATCGGATACAAAGAGAAGATGTGTGAAGGAGCAGTGATCATGACACAGACAAGCGAAGGTTCTGAATAATTTATCATGAGTCCAAACAGTGGATTGGCCCAGAATTAGGACAAGATTTGAATGAGTAAACAAAGCCCTACAACCGCAGAGGAGATAAAGTATGCAAGTCATGGTCCTTAAGATAGGGAAGTTGTTTGGTTTTCACGGGAGAATTAAGTGACAATTCTGGAAGTGACATTGGCAGGAACTGGAGAGGTAGAGCAGGAAGCTGTCCTCACAGTTGAAACCAAGTGGCTAGGTGGTAGGGGGAAAATACTTGGCAGGTCTTTAAGAGAAGCTGTGGCCTTTGAGAAGAATCAGGGCATCCTTAACCCTAAAGGCAGAGGGCTAAGGATTCAAGGAAGAGGTTGAGGCTGTGAAGAAACTGATTGTCTGATGGAAGAATCCAAATGTACAGCCCAGAGGTGGGAGGAAGAGGAGTCCTGGGAGGCTTGGCCAGGAGAGGTGATGCCAAGGACACCCTGGAAATAAAAGTGTGAAAAAGCTCAGATAATAATCAGAGCAGAAATTCATATGGAGACAGTTACCCAAGAAGAGGTCAGAGGGGCATTTGGGGACAGAGGAGCTGCTCGAGCCTCTTAACTGAAATTGTGTTGAAAAACTGATTCTTAGTGCACATATGTGTGGTGGGTATGATGATGGAAGTCTGCAGTGGTGRTCATTCTGTCTGCACCCTAGGCCCATGCAGTCCAGGTGCTGGTGGTGAGAGATCTTCTTTTAGGCAGGAGCTGATCCCAGTCAAGCTTCATTTCTTTGTGCCTAACCCAAAAGACTTGCATTTTTTTTTTCAACCTATCCTACAAGGCTTTTTGTTTACTACAGAATAATGATCAGAGAGTAATTGAAGTGTTTTCTATATAGTACAGTCAATTTTCTTCCCCAAACTAATTTATTTTCTTTATTTTTATCTATATGCATATTACTTATACAGGACKTACTGGCCAGACCTGGATGGAAAAATAAGAGAAGCATTAGTTTTACGAAGTGTTAAAGTTCGACTTCTTATAAGCTTCTGGAAGGAAACTGATCCCCTCACATTTAACTTTATTTCATCTCTTAAAGCTATTTGCACAGAAATAGCCAACTGCAGTTTGAAAGTTGTAAGTATTATATTGACTGTGCTATTAAATAGGTTGTATTATTCCCTTTGCATGTCTGTGAAAGCTGTGAGCATACACGTGCACATAGGCTTCCAGTAAGAACARGAGAGTAAAGACTACTTCAGAGGCTAGGAAGTTATTTTTCAAAACAATCACACACAAAACATGGACAGTGGACCCAAATTTCCTCTTGTCTAGCCTTCTTCAAACACACTTTTGTTGCAACCTCTCCATTTTGTTTGAACTGCTTCACTCACCTACTGTGATTACCTGCACAACTGTGACCACTAGAGCACTGGAACATGCTCTAACAAAGACCCCCCAGTCCCAGTGTTTCCCCAGCTTGGGCTTCCACATTTGTTTCCTGGTCACCTGGGCCACATGCTATTCCATTTCTGAAAACCTTGAAGGAAGCAAGTTTGGAAATTGGTGATACTCTAAAAGTGCAAACTCTCCAGCTCATCTTTGACTTTCTCCATCCTCCACACAGGACCTTTATGCATACTATGCCCTTGCCCACAACACCTTCTCCATGTTTCACCTGACAAATGGCCACTAACCCTTTGGTTGTCAGCTTTGTCCGGCCCTCTGTGTAAGCATTCAATACATGTGTGCTGAGCCCAATCTCTGTAGCAGGCCCTCTTCTAGGTAGTTGGACTGTGTTCCTCTTGGTATAGAGGAACTCAGGATGACAAGGGCTTTGCAATATCACTTTGGCATGTAGCTTCTGACCCTCACTACCTCAATCAAGAGAAGTGTGAGGCTGGAAGACCATGAAGAAGTCTTTACGGGTCAGGTCTAGAGGTGGCCTGCATTCCACTGCCCAGACACCACACACGTGGGGACAAGGGAGGCTTGTGAGTGTGTTCAGAAGGATAGCTTTGTTCCCAAGAGAACAGAACAGATCTGTGAATCACCATGGTCTGAAGTTCTGGGTACCCACTATCTATTACACTTTTCCCACACGGAGAACCCTCATCCCTCTGTGAGGGAGAAATGCAAAGTTTCATCCAGTCACTGCACAAATCTCTGTTCAACTAGTTTTTGTAAACTGAGGCAGCCATACCTATGTCTCTGGGTTCACAAATCAGAGTAAGTATTGCAAACTGAAACAAGTCTGTGGTTACCCCCATGGAAGTTTCCCAGGTCRGATTTGCAAATAAATGAAATAACTAGGAACTAGATCAGAGCACCAGTGTAGTTTGGAATCAGATATCACAGATCTGAGAAGTTGCTRTGTAGTCCCCAGAAACCTGGCAGAGATACTGGAGGATAGAGTTTAAACCTTTCCACAGACAAGGGGATGCTTAGGATTATTTCAGCCCAGGAACAGCATCTTCCAGGTAATTGAAGTGACATAAAGGTCCCCAGGGAGTAATCAAGCAAGATTAGGAACAGGTGTCTAGTTCACCATCATATTCCCAGTGCCCAGCATGATGCCTGGCACAGTATTCCAATATGTGTCGAATGAGTGAAAGTATGAATGAATAAAGTCAAAGAATGGAGCTAGCAAAGGCAGAGGGACAAGAAAGTTTCTCTAAGATACTGAGAGAGAGGGAGCCCAGTCCAGAGCAATGCCCAAATCCATGTGGTTAGCCATTTTCTGTGGACTCCGATGCCCAGGGAATCATTCGCGGTAGAAGAGCACTACTGCCACACTAAAARGGTCTAGCAGGAGCAGAAAGGAGGRTATCTGGGCCTTGGGCACACTCTGAGGTATATTTTGCTTTCATGTTCTGCAACTTCCCTTTGCCCATGTCCTGCAACTTCCTGACCCCATATCACACCTGCTAAGGCCCCTRCAGTTGAAATCTCCCAGGGGTATGAAATATTGAGTGCTGTCATTGAAGACTTGCAAGAAATTCCAAGGAAAGTAGAAGCTCATCATAAGCTCTACAGTACTTTATCAATTTTATCTTTTTGAACACAGATGGTCACATTTCTTGAATAGGCCAAACATTAAAAGCTCACTGTTGGCCATTTTATTAAATAGAGGTCATGTATTTCTAAGCTCAAGACAAACYAAGGTGGGAAGGAAGCTTAATGCCCCAATATCTAGAACACAGATGGCTGATGAGCTCTTCCAAGGAAAAGTAGGCTTTGGACTCTTGCATGTGGCCTATCTGCAGGAGCCTTGGAGCTTTGCTAAGACACAGGGCTTGGGAACTGGACAGGAAACTCTGTCCTTGGAGGAATGGGCACCTCRCACCCCTGATGTGGGTTTGTACCCACAAGGAGATCACAGAAACAATCATAGAATTGTTCCAGTTAGCTGAGTATTTATTTTTTAATGAATTAACTAATCAGTTTTGAAATGACTTTGCTGTCTTTTACAACATTTGATAGAATCTAATAATGTCAGTGAATTTCTGACTGATTTCTGCTGTCATGTTAGTCTCTCAGATAAATCTGTCTCTCCTCTTCTGGGCCATCATCGACTTTCTAGAGAAAATGGGTTCTTGCTAAAGCCTCAAGTTGTGACTCCATCCTTGACTTAACTTAGGATATGTATTTTACTCCTTTTCAAGTTGATTGATTTGAATTCAATCAATTCTTGATTCTACAATAGTATCTTTCTCAGAAGGAAACAGTCTATGCGTGGACATTTTGATAGAATGTCCAGGCAAGCTGACTGCTGGTTGTTACCCACAATACTAACATGACTTTGTGAGTATACAACTGTGACCTGGGAGCATTCTCAAGTTATTAAGTCAGTTTGACGACTCCACAAACCAGCAAATTTTGTGGAAGACAGGAACTGGAGAAATAAGGTGAACTAGGGTATTCTCCATGCCCTGGGAGAATGTTCCTCTGTGTTGTGAAATAGGCATTATTTGGATGGTAGATTTTGGTGTGTGCACCATGGATCTCAAGGGTTTTGCAAACAAACAAACAAACAAAAAAAAAAAAAACAGACTGGAAGGGACGTTGATGATCACCGAGGTCACCTCTTTCCCAAGCTGGGGCATAGGCTAGGAAGACCAACTCTCATTATTTCCCCAAGCCAAATTTAAACACTTACCATTTTGAAACTATACTATGTCTCCTTTTTTAGGTATTATGTCATTTTTCACTCTCTCTCTTCTTTCCTTCCAATACACATGATCTCACACCTGTAAGACATCCTAGAAAAAAATCCATGGTGAGGCTGGGGATGTAGCTAAGTGGCAGAGCACTTGCCTAGCATGCACAAAGCCCTGGGTTCAATCACCAGCAACACACACACACACACACACACACACACACACACACACACAGAATTTCTTGCCATTATGAAAATGTTTGTTTTCTAATGTACAGACCTGCCTGAGACTTTCACTGTTAATGGGTGTGAGCTCAACCACCAGAGTCCCAGGAGCTCAATCACAGTCAAAACTTTATCCACACTCGTATATCTGAAAAAAAAAATTTTCAAAAGAAAAAAAAAAACCACTTTATCCAACACATGGCAAATTCAACAGTCTCAGGAGTGCCTACTTTGATCTTTCCTGCTCTGAGCCCACGTTCTCCTTGTTCCTCCATCTTTGGCCTTGGTTGAAGTGCAAACCTGCTTTTTAGGTCATGGTGAAGTTGAAAGTCAAGACTCGTTGTTTGCAATTATGGTTTGCATGGCTTGAGTCACCCACTGAATGATCTTGTAGACTTAGGTGTGTAGATGGAAAGTATTTGTTCCCGTGGCAAACTCTCTTGTGACCTTTCTGAATCCCCAAGTTAATCAGCTAGTCCTTAACATAATGCATGCAAAGTGTAAGAATACTCATTCAGTTCTTTGGCATGCTTGACAGAAAGGTCCCTGAGGCATGCTTCAAATGCCRGTGCACCCTGGTGAATAAGACAAAGAGAATTAAACAACCTTCTGGCCCTYACCCTGTTGAAAGAATGAATTTTGTAGCTTAAAAGTGTTAATTATAGACCAAGTGGAGCATGCTAATTTTCTCTCTTGTTGCCTATATAAATTSGAGAATAAAAATAGCTTCCTCTATACAAAGTAACGAGTGTATGGTTTTAATAACCCAATGAGGTCTATTGTTGACATTTAGATAATTCGCTCCTTTGCCTGTTTGAACAGACCAAAAACATTCTCTATTCACCTGRTTTTTTTTTCTCCTTACAGAAATTTTTTGATCTGGAAAGAGAGAATGCTTGTGCAACAAAAGAACAAAAGAATCAYACCTTTCCTAAATTAAATCGTAACAAGTACATGGTGACAGATGGAGCAGCTTATATTGGTAGGTGTCAGGGCTGGGAAGCTCCTCAGAGATTGCCCACGAAGTGCTGGTTCAMCTGGACCTCAGTGGTGGTCCATGGTGAAAGAGCAGTACCTGGGAGCCATGGCTGATGACTAGTGGGCCCTGGTGGTCAGGAAATAGGAGGGTGAGGGAGAAGAGCTCCTCTGCCCAAATGTCTCCTCTGAGACCTGATTCTTGTACTAGGATATCATGGAAGATGTCTTTACATCTTRCTTTGCAGAAATTCTCTGGTCCACCTGCCTCATTTTATAGACAAGAAGGCAAATGGCTCACAAAGACCGTGGCTGGCACCAAAACAAGCACCACAGCACCACAAGCCAGTCAACCGTGGGTCATGGGGAGGCAAGCACTGTAATTGTTCAGTGCCAGAACTTATACAATCTGAGTCGCAATCCCATCCCTGCCATTTTCTAAATGTCTAACATCAGATGATTTCTTTGAACTCTCTAAATCCCAGTTTTTCTTATCTCTAAAATGGGGCTAATGGCAGTTTCTACTGAGATAATATATACAAAGTGCCTGGCACAAATATAAAATCCAATTAATATTAGCTATTAGTATTAAGGTAATAAAGTCCCAGATGCATAAACCCATTTGTTGGTGGAATTATTTCCTAACATATCAAGTTTATTCTAATTTTCTGTGCTGTGCATAAGCCCTACGTGGTCCCTTCACTGGAAACATCACAGGTAGAGTTGAAATTATCCGTTCAGAGTAGGTACATAAATCCAAAATAGCCATGTGGTTATTACATGACATAGACAAAGTGGTGGTCTCTAAACAGAAAAGAAAAATATGTTTGTGAGAATATAGGAACATGAGGTTCATATTAATTATTTTTTTTCCAAATTCAGTGGATGAATAAAAAAGTATAGTCTTAACTTTAAAAAGCATTTTATATGATTTGATTCTCTTAGCAACATCATCAATAAGGTGACTTTTATCTTCTACATTTCAGAAATTAGAACACTTGGGCTGTAAGACATGAAATGTCTGAGTTATGCAGGTGCAGGGGAAAGGGGCTAGAATCCAGACCACACAGCCCCCTTGGCCATGTAGAGGTTGACTAACCCCTGGATCAGTGTGAAGATGCTCTTTTACCATTTTTAATAGTTATAGCATCATTTTATTAAAATGGATTATTAGAACATCTTCTGTAACATAAGCATATTATTTTATCCCTCCTGTTCCTCTTGAGATTAAAAAAAATGTGATTATTTGGATTTCCTCATGTTTATCAGCTTAGGACGAATAATATGAAATCAGCTTCCTTTTAAGCAAGTGACAAAAAGCAAACTCAAAATTGTTTATTAAATAACAGGAAATTTGGGGACAACTATTTGGAAATCCAGGGATGGAATCAAATTCAGACACAGTGGGATTTAGAGATCAAAATCAGGACATTTCACTTGTGAGCTTTACTTAAAGCAAGGTGTTGTGGGCACCTTCCGTAGTAATTTGTAGTAATATTCAAATGCTGTTTTGATAAGTATTTTGGAATCAGACAGCCCATATTTTAATTCTAGCACTGATACAAGATGGAAGATGGTAAAAAGTCACATGGTCTTCCATCTCCTTATTTGTGAAATGGTGATTATAGCCATGAGCATTAAGTGAGCTAATATACGAATAGCTCCTAACATGTCTCTCTAATCTATCTAGATCCTTAATAAATATTGATTCTCTGCTCTCTCAGTATTCTTCCCTAAGGCATTTTTAAATTTTGTATTCTTAGGCCTTGAGGCCTTAGACTTAAGGAGTAAAATGAAAAAAAAAAAAAAGAAAAAAGAAAAAAAGACCCACCTTCCAGGATTCCAAGAGGTGCCACATGCAAAAGGGAGTTGATATGTTTGGGRGCTTCATAGGGCAGTGCAAGGACCAAAAGATGAAATTGTAAAGAGACAGCTAAGTACCTTCTCCCAGCAGCCTCTCCCACAGATGGCTGCAGGGATTGGACCAAGGTTATCCAAGGACACATGAGCTCAGCATCTGATTCAGTAAGTATTTCTACAGTGAGACCTGAATTGCTACTGAGGGAAGGGAAGACCAGTCTTGACATTTAAGGTCTCCATTCCCTTTATGGAACTAGCTCTTAACCAAAAAGGAGAACAAAACCCATGAGCTTAGTTCATACCAGGGATGGTGGTCACTTATAAACAAATTTTTGTGAGTCTTGACATGGCTCAATATTTTTTAGAGAGAATACTTCTTATTTGTCATCCCATAGAGAGCTCATGGAACCTGGAGACCTGAGTGCATCACTGATTAGTCATGGGACATTGGGCAAATTTATTCCCTCCTTTGAGCCTCCCTCTCCTCCTTTGTAAAGTCAGTGTAAATCTTACCAATCATGAAATAAACATAAATATCAAGTACRGTGCTTTGTTCATAGTAGGCACTCAATAAACGATTAGTCCCTCCATCCTTATACTCCCTTCATTCCTGGCCTCATTCCTAGTCTCTCCCCTTAATGTTCCAATGCCCTAACTATCCACAAGTTTATCTCTGTCCACAAGATGTCATCCTCTCTTTGGGGTCTGGCTCTCTTGTTCTAAGTAAATTTCAATGCATCTCTCATTATTCAATGGAATGCTCCTTTCTTGACCCATGTAGCCAGAGTTAGAAACTCCTTCTGTCCTGTGCTGGTGGCATTGTGTGCATTATTCTCTCCTAGTATTACATATTCTCTGTATTATAACTATTGTGTTTCCCTCCTGGACTCCTTGAAGGCAGGGATGCCATTTTCACCTTTATATTAGCAGCTCCTAATATGGGACCTGTTAGACTAATGTCACCTAAGGGCACTCAACAAGTATTCATTGAATGAAGAACAAAGAAGAGTAAAGGGGGAAAAAAATGGTGCTGTGCCCTCTTGAGGAGAAACCTTTGTTCTGCTGTGCCGCAGTCCGGCTGCAGCAAAATAACCGGGGGGTGACGAACAACTTGTGTAGATCGATACAGCAGGAGTGGGAGCCGTTTATTGTAGGACCAGAGGGGTATTTATACATTCCACACAGCTTATCTAATTAACATAAACTAGATACAGCAGTCAACCAATAAGAAATCTCCACACTTAATGGCTCACTGGCGCCACCTCACAAACCACTCCCCCTGGCAAAATACCAGGCGCCATCCAGACTTGTTTACAGACTCTAACATTTGCCAGGCGCCATCCTGACATGTTTACAGATCTTAACACTGCTGGAAACCTCTTTGCATTTGATACCAAAGAAGAGACTCACTTGGAGCATTATGAGTTGTCCAGTCCTCTAATCTGCTTCCACCTTGCAAATAAATGGCATAGAGATTATTACCCTCTCTTAGAGTCCAGCCTTACCGGATCCCTCAAAATTCAGATGCTGAATTCCTAACCTCCAGTATGCCAGAATGTCACCGTAGTTAGAGATAAAGTCTTTACAGAGATAATCAAGTTAAAATTTAGATYCTTCAGGTGAGCACTAATCTAATCTGACTGTTGTCCTTATAAAAAGGAGAAATTTGGAAACCAAAACACAAAGAGGGAAGACAATCGGAAGAGATATAAGGAGAAAAGAGCTAGCTACAAGCCAAGGAGAGAGGTCTGGAGTGGGTCCTTCCATGGAAGGAACCAATTTTGCTGGCACATTGATTATGTCTCCAGAACTGTGAGAAAAGAGATTTGTCGTTTCACCCACAGAGTGTATGGTACACTGTGAATCCAGCTCTAGAAAACGAATACACTGGTTAACGCCAGGCAGTCATACATGGGAGCTTGTTCTCAAAACAACTGCCTGGATTCCTGGGCCAAAGTGACCAATACTAGACCCAGGAAATTATGTACATCCCAATAGAGGAACATCTGTGTGCTCAGGAACCAGTACTTCCCCAGCATCAGCTTTTTCTTTGATGCAAAAGTTTTTCAGCATTATGCTTGTACATATGGATTAGAGGGTGTCTCTTTGAGAAGGTAGTAATTGTTCACAGGATTTTTAAGTGTATTCCTATATATTTCAAATGTTGCCATATTTAGTGTGTCTTGTGAATGTCAATAAGAAATAACATTTACAAAAAGGAACAGCAGATTCCTTGTTTTGAGTTTCAACTTGAGCAAAGCTGAAAGAAATGCCAAGATAATATGCAAATATTAATATGCCATGTGTAAGGCTTCTTGGATWTTTTTTTGAAGCTGTCAACACAATTCAGGTTCCCTGTCATTATTCCTGGGTGTTTATTTTATAATTTTTTAAAATAGAATCGGCTCTGTATTTCATTATATTGGGACTATGCCCCCAGTGGATCCTAACTCCTCACCATTATTTCTTTGTTGGTTTGCAGGAAATTTTGACTGGGTAGGGAATGATTTTACCCAGAATGCTGGCACAGGCCTTGTTATCAACCAGGCAGATGTGCGGAACAACAGAAGCATCATTAAGCAACTTAAAGATGTGTTTGAAAGGGACTGGTATTCACCTTACGCCAAAACCTTACAGCCAACCAAACAGCCGAACTGTTCAAGCCTCTTCAAGCTCTCACACCCCTCCAACAAAACTGCCACACACAATACCAGCGGGAAGGAGCCCTTGAGCGCATAGCAGAGTGAACAACAACAGTTCCGTACTTCATATTTATACATAAAGGACTCGAGGAGAGAAAGACAATTTAATATGTCTTTTTTTTTAGGGGAAAAAAAAGCACACTTATAAAAAAAATGTTCTCTGAACGACGTGTACTCTCTAGCTAACAGTATCTTATCACCATGTATACTAAAATCAAGACTTTTGTATTTGTTACTTCTGACCAAGAATGTCCTTCTGGTTTAGAAGTTAGTTTTTATGTTTGCCTATGGATTTTAAGACTTGGATTCCTGTTTCCTGTTCCTGTCTGGGTTTTAGAGCTTTTTCTGCTAACCCACCTGGTCAGTTCTTAGCATGAGGTGAGCTCTTTGCTTTCACACCATTCTGAGCACTGCTGATCTAGAGAGGAAGGTGAAGATTTCACCTAGGAGAAAAGACTGATCAAACCAAGTATTTATTCTTGAAAACCGTCTCCCAGCCCAATCCAGTCACCTGAGCATGAAGAGATTCCATCTCATGCCAGCCTTCAACAGCCCTAAAAAAATACTTTTTTTTGTCTGCTTGCTCATTGTCTTCTAATACCGTAGGTTTTATTTAGTATCATTTTCTTTCTTACAAAATGTTCTTATTACATAGTGTTCCTCTATTCACCTCAATATTAATTCCAAGTATGATAACATCTTTTGAAAATGTATGATTCCCTTAGAATACATACAAAATGGAAATAGCAGTCTTTAATTTTCACCTTTCAACTGCATTCTTTTCCCCTACCGAATTGCTTATTTTAAAACCACAGCCAGCAATATGTATCCTTTCTCTTAAGCTCAGAAAAAAAAAAAGATATAGCCACCTGCTAATATTCAGTAAGCTATTAAGTCTGCATTTTGAGAACAAAGTAGTTTTTCAACATTTTTGTTTAGTTTATGGTATTATAAAGGAAAGGTCTCTCTGCGTCAGTGGATTTTAATTTCTTTAGAATCATTATGCTGTTAAGAGTATGCCAGCAAACGTTTATAGAGCTATTTAATATACCTTCTGCTATTTAATATACCAAATGCTTTTCAGAGAAATGCAATTTAAATACTGTGCGTAACATATTTTACTAAGAAACAGAAATATTGGATTATTGTTCTATAATGTCATTGTGTGTTGGTGTTTTATATCTATACAATATATAACCATGTATTAATGGAGACTGTTGCTACACAAGAGAGAGGGATGGTCTCTTCAGAGCCCAGGTGGGTAGCCAGGATGCCCGCGCCCAGTGTGGCTCCTGACTCCATGACTCAGAACAGAGTCCTTCACCCGCTGGCCTCTGGTTTTCTATTGCTAATGTAGAGACAGTGATACTCACCTACCTCGCAAGAATGTTGTCATGGTAGGAGATATTTATAACTTGTTTTGAAATCAAAAGAACATATATAAATGCTAAGCATTATAACATATAATCTTTTTCTTGAAATAATCTTTGTGGTATCCTGGTAGAATCAGTAACAGGTCCTCCCCGAGAACCCAGAACGGAAAAGAAATCCACTGCTTCCAGTCACGAATGTGGATGACAAGAATGCAGCCGCACAAAAGCCACGGTGGAGATCTGGATTGTTAACATCTTGAGGGACCATTTTTCTCTGGTCACCTTGGCATAAATAATATCAACACAAAACCAGACGTTAGCTAGGGATTGTTATTTAGGACCAGCATATAATACGTGTGTTTTCAGAGCGAGGACAAGCAATTTCATTTATTCTTTCTCATTTCTAGAGACTTGGTTTTAAATCTGCCAAAAGACTGAAGGGGGAACCAATGGATCTCTTCTAGCGGGTTCACTTAATGTAGAATGGCTGCTTTCCTTTCTTAATGTTTCCAAGTCCTGCTTCACTGGATATTTTACCAGTCAAGAGAACTAGCCAGGAGCTGTGTTTTTAAGGGTAACATGTTTTTATGACTGATTGGGGGTATTTCTAAATGAAATTATTCATTAATAATGGCCAACCTATAAGACTATCAAAATATTGACCATATCCCCAATCCTTGAGTTGGGAGTTATCCTGCCAGTCATTCAAATATAGGTGGCTTTGGCGATCATTTTAAAAAGAAAGAAAGCAGAGAGTAAAGGTGGAGTGGAACAAATCTACCAAGTGTATCCTTGGACAAACAGAAGGCACTTGGTTGAGTCTGAAAAGGAAATCCAAAGGGAAAAAATATAGCTGCTTCCTTGCTGGTTCCCAAGGGGTCTCCTGGGAGATATTTCTCCACAGTCACTGGACAAGGGTAGGCTTAGTGCCATGGGGCCCTCCCTCACTGCCATTGTCTTTTGTGTGCATGTGGCAGGAAAAGAGAATGTCATCTTTTATAAAATAACCCTCATGGCCATTTCCTCTGAACCCCATCAAACATGGCAGTGCTGGGAGCTGTATCCCAGCCTCCTCTGCCCTGTGCCACCAGCAGCAGAGCTCTTCTTGACACAGCCACCCACCTCATCAGCGTGGTCAGGGCAGCAGCAGCACAGGCAAGAACACTGACTCCAGGAGACAACACTGACTTTCTGTGGCATCCAGGAAAATCGGCCCTGTGCAGACTGTCACAGATGAGTCCATGTCTCCACAGAGAACATTCCATTCTGCAGAACTTTCTCTTTCATTGGGATGTCGAATCTACCCCTCTAGACGTAGCCTTCCTCTCTTTTAGACTTCTTCTGTGTGACAAAGACCACAGACTTCCTTTTCTCTCACTCCCAGACATCCCAGGAAATATTTCTCAAAAAGAAAAAAAAAAGACACAAATCAAAAACTTAATTTGAGACTATCTGGCGAATGTCCATGCCGGAAATTCTAAGGAGGGTGACTATTCACCTTCATCTTGTTTTTCTCCATCTTTGGAATTATTTTCCAAGTGGGGAACCAAACAGAATTTGAGATTCTACTTTAGATTTCTCTTTTGCTAATATGAACCTAGTGCCTTATTTACTCTCAAGCATTGATTTCAAAGAACAATAATCCACTACACGAGAACGTTTCTGCCTACTCTGGAGTACAATAAGGACTTCTGATGAGACGACAGGTTGAAAACTTGCATGTGAGGCTCAGTGGTTTTCAGGCAGCCTGCTCTCTTCCCAAGCCACAGAACTTTTATCATCCCCAAGTCAAATCATTGACATTATTCACTCTCAAATGTCCACTGCATTGTCACTGGCCACTCTCATATCAAATAATTGAATCACAGCTTATCACTTCATGAGAGAGGAAGTGGGACATTCTGAGATTGTATCTAGGCTCTGTAAACACCACCCTCTGGATACCCGAAAATGATCAAAGTGAGACATGCTGAAAATGTCCCCATGAGTCTTTAAGGAAACTTGTAAAGAGATGCTTCATAGACTTCCAAAGTCCTGAGGAACATAGGATGAAAACTGGTGTCTACAGAAAGTCAAAGCAGGCTCAGTGAGAAAAATGAAAGGTCTGTGGGAAACCCCAGCATTTGTGTAGCTCTGAGCATCACGTTGTTCCCTGAATCTGGGCTGTGGTATGGCTCTTAGTAAAGATGTTTCAGATCACATTTCTGGTTGATCTTACCCTTTGAAAAACATGTTTTATTAATGCAGTTACTGGTTTATTCAAGTGCCTCAATGAACCTGGGACTGAACAGCTCATTTCCCGCCAGACTGCAGTTATTCTCAAGTGACTTCGATTTGTTCGGAGATTTTTGTTTGTTTGTAGAAACTTCTATTGAACTAAATTCCAGGGGAAAAAAAATAAAAAGACTATAAGAATTTCTTGATAGGATCAGATCTAGGGTCCGTTTTTCTCAGGAATTCTGTCCTAGAATATGCCATTTTTTTTCCATATGCATGGTCATTTGTATGCATTTCTGTGTCCAGAATTCATTCCATTATTTGTATGCTTAGGGAATGTAAAAAGCTGCCTTTACTTGCAATAGAACAGTCATCTCCCGTAATGAACGATACTTTGCCATTGGTTATTCAAATTCAGTCCCCTATAAACAGCTCCATATATTGTGCACAGATGTTCAATTCTATCTTTTTCCTGTACTTATTCCCAATGAATTGGTGCATTTTATTATAAACCTTTTAAATAAGAAATGAATATAACTTCCATTTGGTCTAAGATAGATTGGATAAATGAATCTATGTTCAATATTTTCCATTTGCTATGAATTAGCATCTTTTCCTTTTATTTATTGTTAACCAAATACCTGCTTACCATTTTTTTTTTACCTTATTGACTTAAGTTGATGGAGGTTTTGTAATAGCCCTGAAGTCAACCCCATTTGACAACCTACCTTTCCCATTTGAGAAAATTTCCATCTTTGGCAGAATTATGAAGATATTGCTTTTTGTGGTGTCTGGATAGGTATCCTTCAGAAGTTTCTTAAAATTATAAAAACTGAATTTTCATATTTTGACACATTAGCAGTCTTGTATCTACAGAGTTCTAAAAGCTCAYTGATTACTTAGGCCTCTTTTGGCAATGTAACAAAAAGGAATGCAAGATATAATAACTTATTCATTTTCTTCTGCTGTGTTTGACTGCTAAACTTCCATTTCTGTTACAAAGGATATCTTGAATTTTTAATGTACCTTTCTTTAAATAGGATAAACTTGTACCCAGGTATAGCTACATTATTAACCTTCAGATCCCTAAATAAATTGTTGTGATGAAAAGCTGAATTGGCGGGGCGGGAAAGCATTAAAATTATGAAACCTTTACCAAATGCTCATGTTTTATCAGAAGTACATATTTTATGGCTTTTTCACACTGTCAGATGGGGGCATACATTTTTTCTCAGTTTGATCTCAGAAACGAATCAGCCTCTCCCACTATTCTACATGATGAATAAGGTAAATGCAACTCCTCCAATAGGCTAAGGGCCCACACTGTTCTGTATATTCACCCACCCAGCATCTTTGTAACACTACTCCTATCTCTTTAAAAAAAGAAAGAAAGAAAGGTTCATTCCCAGTATGTGTTGATTTGGGGTAAATAAGTGATCATGTTTTAGTGAAGAAATAATTCTAGAAACCATGCTCTGTACTCTTTCTCGGCAGCTAGTTCTGTTGCTTCACATACTAACCCATCACACTCTCTTCTATCTATACCTAAATTCAAATATACCTGTGTCTTCTTAGCAAATCCAGTGTGTTTTGGTTTTTTCCCTGTGCCTCACTCATGCTAGGCACACACTCTACCACTGAGCTATGCCCCTAGACCCCAGCAAACCCGTTTTGAACCTGAGGTTTAGACCTTACCTTGAAAGACATCTAAACTAACTCCTCCAAATGCACAAATTCCCTTCCCACCTGGCCACTTAGAGGTTAAGGACATATTCCAGTCAAACTATTTGGAACGCTTAATACACAGTGCCTTTCACAAAACCACATGGGATAAAATTTAGTGATTTGCTAAAGTAATTTGGATTTGAGGAAAAGACTTAATCTCTGAATCAAAGACAAAACCAATCTGAAGCATWTTTTAAATTGTCTTTTGAAAGTTTAGCAAAACCTTAATAAAGTGGACTTTCTGAATCTGTATTAGTCAATACTAATTATTTAATTTCATTGGCAATTTCCGAGACCAATAATTTTATGTTTGTTTGTTTGGGAAAATAGTTTTATGAGAAAATAGTTTTATGAGACAACCTTGTGCAAGGAGTCCAATTCAAGAGTAGTAAAGGTGAAGATTATTTGTGATTTATTTTTATTTCATACAAGAGAAAATTAGTAAGGCATAATTCTCTTTCTGTAAAATGGACGTCTGGCTCTTAAGCCCATTCCTTTGACCTCATGTATGTAGAAAAATGAATTACTTTATGGACTGTACTATTTTCCATTGGTGGAAAATTCTAAAGAAAAAACAACAACAACAACAAAAACAGACAAACCCAGTTTCTAATTTAGAATGTTCTTGTTTAGGTACATAACCAATCTTGGGAATATGACTTGAATTTCCAGGATTAAAAATGTTGAAATTGTCTATAGCCTACCAATATAAATGAAAGGGGAAAAAATTTTAAAGACAACTCAGAAAATATGATCCAACAATATTCATGTGAATCAGAGCTTCATCTACAATTTCACTTGCTTTTATTGAAAAGGGGATTGTTTACCTCTTTAGAAAGTGCATGTTATAAAAGGCAACAATCAAAAAAAATGCAATAAAAGAAAGGCAGCACTGTAGTTTCAGATAAGTTATGGTATTGACAGAGTACTTTGAAAACCCTGTGTGGGAAAGTTTCATTAAGCAACAAAAGCTGTCTGTCCCTAGCAATAAAGCTGTATGTTATTATCTATATTTCATGGGTGGCTTTATAATTTTCCTGATGTCCTGGAAAGACCAGTTCCTTGGTTCTTATATAAGCAAATCTTGTTTTCTGTCATGAAAGCTCTCCATGCCGGCCATACCATTTGCACCAAGGTTCAATACATTATTCAAAGTGACTCATTTACAGGCCATGTGCTGGCATAAGGAAAGGA